TGGGGTAGCCGGGGCACGGGCGCCTGCTCTGGGGTGCGCCTGGGGACCCCGCCAGTGACAAGGGGAGGTGGCAACACGTGCCCTGTGTCCCCAGCCTCTCTGGATGGTCAGGGACGTCCTGCAGGCCCCAAACCACAGGGCAGGCCGGGCGTCCGTACCACCCCAGGGCGAGGGGCGCACTTGGTGTGGGCGCCCGCGTGCCCAGCCCTGGGGAGCAGAGCCCCAGCTTGGGGCCTGCAGACCTGCCGTCCAGGAGCTGCAGAGGGGCGGCTGGCCGCCTCTGGACACGGTCACTGAGCGCGTGGGCGGGTGCATGGGGTTGGCGGCTGGTCCGGCTCCGGGGGCGGAGGCAGCTGCGTCCCCCAGGGCCAGCGGGCACCCCCCAGAGCCTCCCACTGCCGCCAGGGGCGCAGGGCCGGCCAGAGGGTGCCCACAGAAGCTGCCGTCAAGGGCAGCTCCGGTGTGGCCACCCTGCTGGGCCTTCACGCGGGTCTCCGGGCCCCGCGGTCAGCCTGGGCCCCTCCAGGTTACTACGAACACTGGTCACCCCGGAGCAGGCCGCCGGGCCAGGTGGCAGTGTGGGCCGGCTGGGCCCTGCCTGAAGAGGGCGTGGACAGGGGCACCACTGTCCCCACGGCCTGGGCTGGCCCCTGTGTGAGCACCACGCTGCACCTGCAAGTGGAGGCCCCGAGGCCACGGCCTCCCTGCCCCCCGATTCTGCCCCCAGCCAAGACCAGGTCTCCGGGAAAGGCCACTGAGGACACAGCGCTGCCCACCAGGCGCCCGGGTGAGGGGCTCTGTGGGGACACAGCCCAGCCAGGAGCGCTGTGAGGGCCATCCTTCCCTCCTGGGCCTCGTGCCAGGGCGCAACCCACAGGCCCGGGGCCTCGGTGAGGGGCCCACAGCCGGGCCGAGCTCTGCTTGCCACAGACCAGGCGCCTGGGAGGAGGCCGGTGGGGGCGCTCGACACTCCTGGGGAGGACCGGACACTCCTGGGGGGACCAGGCGCCTGGGAGGGGGCCGGTGTCCCTGGGTGGGGGCACTGGACACTCCTGGGGGCACCAGGCGCCTGGGAGGGGGCCGGTGTCCCTGGGTGGGGGCACTGGACACTCCTGGGGG